AACGGTATAGGTCCATACTTCGACTATTGTACGCATCATGGATAATGCAATCTTACTTTCCGATTGTGCTGAAATCCATCCTGATTATTTTGGAATTTTAGGCATTTTCACTTTCCGGGATACATCTCGAGTCGAAAATCCTCTATGAGCCAACATAAGGCGGGTTCCCTGCTAATGAACTGGTCTATGTCAAATGTGAATAGGATCTTGACTAATACACCCATCTGCATAACAGTTTGGTTTTCGAGGGACTCATCTAAAACCCAGCTAAACCCCTCAGTTACAATGTTCTTCTTCAACCGAATGTGCTATTATACTGCGACGTCTCGAATATCCTACCAAATCAAATATGAGGCGATCTGGTGCAGCATATTCAGTTGAATTAGAATATCGTAAACAAGGGATACAACTGGGTTCCAGTTGAGACTCCCGTTAAAACCAAAATGGTAAGCAGATGAATGTATTAGTCAGATTTCGTACAATTTGCGTTCAAGTAAAACATAAGGTTGAAGAAAGTTCTGGGAGTGTACCTACCTGATGAGCCTTAAGAAAAGCGAAACCGGTCGTGGGTTGTTGATGAGATTTGAGCAACCATATAAGTAGTGTGTTACGTCTATAAGATGAATGGGACTACTCTCACAATAGCACAGCACTACGTCAAACGCAGGCCTGACAACGCATCAACAACTAATATTAGATAACCCATTACGGTATTGTGACTGCCATATGGACCACGTGGTTTATTGTCAAACTCAGTAGATAAGATGCTGTCATAGCAACACGGATTTCGTCAGCTGTTGCTGGCTAGTGTTGACCATACTGAGACTCCGTTCTGTTGTAAGAATCTAACAAATGAAATACCATCCTCCAGATGAGAGCAACCGTGTCTGGTCCTTTGTGAGCCCTTCAGTGGCTGGGCCTCACACAGAAAAGGAAAATTGTCGACAGAGATCATCTTTGAAAGTCTCTGTAAGTGGGAGCAACTTTACTACCCATTCTTATTCTAGGAAGAGTCGACCGACCAGGATCGGTCACAAGTAATCTCTCCAAAAGTTTTGGTTCCTCAAAAGGATACAAATGTACATTTGTATTCTCTCTTTAAACCTATTCAAAAGCGGCAGAAAAAGGTTGATCCTGAGAGTTGGTCTCTTCTGTGAGGGAGTCCATCACTGAACTAGGCTTCATAGGCCAAATAATGTGGTCTTTACTGAGGCCACTTTCATCAGACTTGGACAGCTTTTGCACAATTCATACCTCAGCCGCTGAAGATTGCTGTAACACAGAAACTTAGTCTAGCATATCCCCCGGTGTCATACACGGCTCAGCGTCATCATCCGTCAAATACCTAATGTACGGTAGCCCCCCCCCCCACCTGTTAACGCCACTTTCCTCTGGTCCCGAGAGATTTGGCACAACTTGCTACCCCTTGAGACAACAATTCTCAAAAAAGATCACTTTGGGTGTTCTCGAGGTCCCACCTCTACTCCAAAAATTTGTATTTTGGGTTTTCTTATATTGGGGTATCAAGTGGGCACATGACTACCCGCGGCACGCACAAGTTCGTTTTCAAAGTTGTTAGGGTATCCAAACACAAACTCTGGCTAAGTGTTCTCCGAGTACTACATTGGTCACTCTAAAATGGACCCCCTTCAAAGGGAGGCCAGTGTCCTCATGAAGGCACACCAGCTTTTTTCCTCATCCATGATGAAACAGGTAAATCAGCCCATTTTGGTAACCATCACAACTGCGTAAAACTGATCATGTGAATACCAAAGGTAAATCAAACCTAGCACGAGAAGCGCGGCTAATTTCGTAGGCGAGTTACCTAATGCATTCTTTCTATTTATAGCGGAATTTCTGTGTCATCGTGTAAGCCAGCGTTTCTCAATCTGTTCAGCTCATCACCCTTTAATGCATGACGTATGGTTGCATCACCTCCCACGCTACATATACAAAGTGCGAGGGTCATTAGAAAACATACCGAACCATATTGATGCAAAGTGCTACTTGAAGAGGGATCTCTCCAAATGAAGGCCGCTCTCCCGGTGAATATGTAACCACATGCTCAAAAAGGCACGATTTAGTATGCCGTCTTCGAGAATAGAGACCACCCTTCACCCTAATATATTATCCCGCGTAACATATACACCTATCATCGTCATCATCATCATCAACAGCATGTTCTACACCGATGCTTCGCTGCCGTACAAACATGATTTATTTGAAAGTCTTATTGTGAAGAAAAGAATAAAGGTGGATAGGGAATGGAATTGATGCTAGCTTACCACGGTCATTCCGAGGTGCTCACATCTCCAAACACCCATCCAGGCAATCTGGATTACAAGAACGCCACCGACATCAGTTGGCAGCCATACCTTGCGGCGTCTCCAACCAGGCGCACTGAGGATCACGCAATCTCATCCTGGAAGGCGAGTAGTACTGACAGCACCCAAACCTTTCGTAATCTTCTTCATACTCAGCTGCCAGGTCAGGGTCAGCATATACACTGACTAATGTTGGTTGTCCAGAAAAGCTTCAGTTACATAATACTGGTGACGATGTCTTGTCAACAGCTCAAGCATAAAGCCGCAGAGGTTGCCAGGACTGTTGGATATGAAGAGTTTAGCAATAGCAATGGCTGGTTATTCAAATTTCAAAAACGTCGCAGTGGTAGTTCTCGTTTTCATGGATGATGAAGGTAGGTCTTGAGGGATACTACAAAAGGAACTTGAGATATTAAGGCGCTAGACTCAGTGCATAATTGCATTATCCAAGTTAAAGCTATTTACATCGCTTTTTGCACCTACGGTCGGCCGGTGCCAGAGGAGCATTTGTGCCGTTCCTTCATGAGTGACCTTTTTTCGAGAGGACTACCGTATATAAATACGGTGATCTTCAGTTCATTCCCCTTGAAAAAGGAAATCCATTCAGCTCAGTACCGCGGAACACATACAAGTTTAATTACGGCGGAGACGGGGATATCGGTCATTCCTATTGCTTTCTGTTTAGCTTTGGTAGGTTACTATGCTCAAAAGACAAGCTGGTTACCTCTGGTGCACATTCGGGATACCGTCTAGTAAGCTCACCAGATGAAACTTCCAACGGCTCATTAGGTTTCCTCCCGGAGCATAAGCGCAGAGTTAGTTAATCTAGTCATTCCAGTCGGAGCTGAAAACAGTTCAGAATTGAGAAATCAGTCGCTCACTGAAAGTTCCGTTGGTGGCTGAACTGAATGACCCAGATCCTCAGACCATGAAACGAAACATAAAGGAAAATGAAGATCGTTCAGATCAGTCAAAAAGATGCGAAGACGGCCGCCGAGCTGATGTAGAGCTTTTATGAGATATGAATGCAAATACCATATTTCCAAGAAAAAAATGACCAAAATAAGGCGCCCTTTGTGTAGCACATTCGGGTAGACAATATCATAAGCAAGGGACCCAAATGTGTTTCTCGTCAAAATCAAATTAGATGTGATTGGGTGTATTTGGCGAATTGCGGCACACAATCTGGGTTCAGGTAGACCACAAGTTTGATGAGTCCGGAGAAAGGTGAAACCAATTTTGAGCCGTCAACGATACCCAACGAATACCAGACTGGACTGTCCCACTCGTCAAAAAGACCGTGTATTTGGTCTTGAATAGAGAAAGAGGCCACTGTATGTACTCCACCCACTAACACTCCTAAAGACGAAGTACGTAATCTTTTGAGAGTTATGAGATAAAGACGTGGGGTTTAGATCCGACATCTTATACAACTGAAAGGAATAAGACCTTATTTTTCCGGCACNATCTTGAATAGGGAAAGAGGCCACTGTATGTACTCCCCCCACTAACACTCCTAAAGACGAAGTACGTAATCTTTTGAGAGTTATGAGATAAAGACGTGGGGTTTAGATCCGACATCTTATACAACTGAAAGGAATAAGACCTTATTTTTCCGGCACATCTGCAGCTGCAATAGAGAACAGTTTGAGTCAACCGTCTAGTGAGATAGACCAAAACATGTTATACCGACAGTACACTTGTCATTTTAAGCCGCAAAAATTCTTTGAAGTACCACATTACGACATCAGCTTCACTAAAGAAAACGAAAAAAAGCAGTCGTGCACCCTTGCCTTGCAGCGATTGAAACCATCAGTAGAACCATGGAGACCTCCCGTATTTCAGGAACTTCGACACCGCACACACTTGGCGTACCCTAGTGCTATCCGCACGCTCTTACGACTGAGGTCGAACACACACCGGAACGTTTAAGGCAGGATGAGTAATCCGAGACGTCTACAAAATACTTTCCCATTAAACCTTGTTCGAGTTACATACTTTTGTACCAAAAAAGTATACGTCCAACCGAAATTCACAAATGTGACTAACTTGGTCTGTCGCAGTCTTCAAAGTGGAACAAAGCACACACTACCACCTGTAGAGTAGCCTCTGTCCATCCCACACTGTGGGTGGCCTTATGAACGTGCTTGTGGAGGGATGCGCATAAGTAGACCGGAATAACATCTCACATTCGGAACCACATTGTGGTCATTTAGATTGACCACTAAGTTGTCTATAATCCCAACTGCGAAAGCACGGCGTTTATACTAGATCTTTGATCGCTAAAATGGAAACACATTTCCGCGCTTATCTGTGGCTGTTTCTGATAGGCGCATCGTATCGGGTTCATACGCCAAGAAGGACGCGGTTTGGTCTTGCCCAAAGAAGGGCAGGTGTAAAATTAGCTAAAAAAAATGTCCATCCTGCATTCAAAATCCCTTCTCACCTTGGTGCCCTTGGTTTTATGCTGGATTTGAGATTTCTTGTCTCTTCTGAACGTTCCTTATCTTCTTACCTGTAGCCCCAATAAGGATTTTACACACAGCCCTAATCCGATTGTACGCTGTTTGTCTTATCCTTTGTGCTCTGCTCAAGTCAACCAAGCGTTTCGACAGATTTCCAATCCGCTCAACATTACCGCCCATTCATCTTGAAAAAGATCAGGAAAAAGGGTGGCAAAGTAGCACTTCCAAGGAGCATCATATTAATCGGCTGATAGCCAAAAGTTAGGTAACAAAGACCGCGCAGTGAGTTATCGAAAACCTATCGCGAATCACTACAGTAGCGTCAAACAAACCGATGGATAGGACGGTTGTTAGGGGATGGAACGATAACACGCAACACAAAGAAGCACCTCCAAAACAAAGATATTGAAAAAAGCACAGAAAGACCCGTCAAACACAAGTCAAAATCACCAGTGATCCAAAAGCGGAGGGAACCCTGCTTCGGTGGAACTGTTGGTGCCGAACCGGGAAAGAACGGAAATGGGGCCTCCGAACCTGGGATTGCATACAAGCAATCGGTGGAAATGGAAGCCCTCGGTTCAAGAGAAAACCGGGTGTTTGAGTACGACGTCCGGAACAGTGAAGCTGGAGCACCCGAAGTCGTATAAAAGAACAACAACAAGAACAACGACAAAGATCGTCCTTAGTTGTAGCAAAAATGTGTTGGAGCACCCGAGTCGTATAAAAGAACAACAACAAGAACAACGACAAAGATCGTCCTTAGTTGTAGCAAAAATGTGTTGCCTGAGAGGATGCAGGGAACCACATAGCTCAAACATGCTCACAGGGACTACTAAGCATCATCAGTAGAATGAGCACAACAGCAGCGATTGGATCATATGAGAAGAAGCATAAAATGTACCATATCAAACAAAGTATTAGAAAAAAACACGAAAATATCGGTTAGGTGGGACAAGATTATTGAGATTACTGCGACTAAGTAGATTGATAATTGCACGGTTGGTACGGGAGGAGAGAGGGGGGAGAGGGCTAGAAAAATTCACCGAGTGTTTTTTTGAGTGAAAACAAGGGAAGGGAGATGTGATTGAAAGTGTGTTTAGCATCGAAAAACGGTCAGTCACATGTTGAGGAAACAGCGATGCACAAGACCGGACGGGGGTAGCATTGTGTCGATCGGCAAAACCGAACTGGGAGTGTGGAAAGTAGTAGAAGACGATAAAATACATGTAGTGCGGAATTCGATTTGCGCAATACGGTTGCAACTTACCAGGGTTACGGTGGTGGTGGTGGTGGTGATAATGATGATGATAATGATGATGATGTTGGTGATGGGAATCGGTGGTAAGACTGGAAAACAGTAGTATAAAAGGGAAGTAGAAATTTTGACCAGCAAACAGAACAAAACCCGTAGAAAAAAATCCGTTGCACCGGAACGTCATGGCAACTGCTGCCATTGACATGGAAGTTATGCGTAGTAAGGCATGGGAGCTGAAGCAGATGACCGGCGGCTCACCGACAATATATCCTCTAGGAAATGAACTAAATGCTTATTGCATATGGGTGTTGGAGCATGCAGAGCAGAAGAGGCGCTTTGAATCGCGGATGTATTAAACCGCAAATGGAGGATGAGGAGGATCAGAGGAGCAAGATGGATCGAAAGATGAGGAAATCCCGGACCAAGTGGAACACAAGCTGCATGATAGATTAACGGTTACATTAAAGGAAGGGTGGGGAGTTCAACAAACCCTGGCTCTGTGTGCAATGCTGGCAATCTATCTGTGACTCGTTCGACGTACTGCGATGCAGCAACCCGTTCACAGCCATTCTCAATCACTTGAAGATTTACAGTTCTATGAAAAGCAAGCACCGTCCAGTGGGCGTGATAATTTTGTCGGTGGTTCAACTTGCCGCAGGTCACATCGATTTGAGGTGGTAGATTCAGTCGAAGCTGGGTAGACAGCGCGTTGCGCTGAGGGGCTGAGCGGAGAAAGGGGAGCGGGTCGTCCACCAGTCAGTGGTTCGCTGCCAATATATTGTTGCTGTCCTGACGGCGCCGATGTTTCCCATGCCTCACATTTGACTCTTGGATTATCGTTCCCAGACAGTCCGGGTTGATTTGTCACCGATGTTTGTACGGGTTGTTGACACGTCGGACTGCTCAATGTCAACGAACTTCGATCTGTCAAGGAGGCAGTAGAATGCGTGCTTGCAACTGTATCAGTTACCTCCTCCAAGTGATCAGGTATCAGAGAGCTGGGTGCTACTGGTGTTCCGATGTTCGGGAATGTCAACTCATAACCAGAACTAGAGGATGAAGATGAAGAACTGGATGCCGGGTCCTGACCGGACATGATGTTTTGCATGACTTCAGAACTAGGTCTACCTAATGAATGTGAGTTTAGATTGGACAGGACCCCGGAAGCAGCCGAACTCGTGCTCAAAATCACATCTGATTCTCGAGCTAAGCCGTTCGTTGTATCGGAAGAACTAAACGGAAACAAGGATTTCTGTGGCATTGGGGTGCCATGTGTTGAAAAAGTCATTGACGAAGGTAAGGTAGAAAATGATCCATTCTGACCAGATGAACTGTGTGGATCAGGACCAGCCGATTGCTTCATTCCGGGCCTCATCCTCCAACCGTTAGGGATATTATCCCGAGAAGTGTCACATTTCGGAAGAGCTGTTGTCTGCATGAGCGAACCGAACGCGTCTCTTCTAGATTCCACATGATCAGAATGTTCAGTTAGACAAGACATGTGAGGAATTGCGACACCAGGACAATGGATTTGCAGGAGGTTGACAAACTGACGGGCCTCACTACGAAGGCTGTCACGTTCTTGTGTGAGCCGATTAATTTCAATTTGCAAACATTCAACTTGGGCTTGCAATTCCTGAGTCCGTTGGACTTTTCGCTCTCTACATTTCTGGGCAGATTTGCGGTTGCGTTCCCTGCGTTTCATCCGCCGATCCGCCTCATCTGGATCCACCTAAACGAGGTGAAGGGACAAGTTTGACTTATAGCACCGATGATGGGTGAGAATGTTCCATCAAGCACAAACTACACAGTAAAAGGGTAATTGTTGTGGCATTTCAAGCCCGGGTACATCCACCGGGTTATTTCGACCTAGAGGGTGGAAGACAGTGAACACATCAAAAACAACTTACTAGCTTTGCGCAGTACACGACTGCGTCAAATGTCAATGCAATTCAGACAAACTTTGACGAGATACTGGTTTATGCACATGGACTTTGCACTTACCACACATTGGCAACCATACAGAATTGTCAGGGAATACAGGGTAACCATATAGGATAGACAGAAATTCAGGAGGGACACAACATCACGAAGCTTGTTGTCAAATGTTTCTTCACTCTAGCCCCCAAAACCTGGTTTTCCGTCGTCAGAAGATAGGGTCTCTTGCTTTATTCTACCGTTAATACGACGGAAATCGCCAGCTTTTTCCATTCCTTTGACTATATCTTTCAATCGTATGACACGCTCTTACTCATTCAGTCACTCGTATCCAGTTGCTACTGCATACTGTAGAAATGCTCTCTGCTCAATTTTCTGAAACTCTACTATTGTCTGTCTGTCCTAACTCGTATGACGTCCAGTTATGCAAAAGCCAAGTAAACGTCCATTTCAATCCACTTTGACGTTCGCCACTTGCGAGGGGCCTCTCTTCCTCTGTATCTCACTCCGATTGGGGGTCATCCCTTCTTCTGTAACCCATATCTTCTTAACGGAACAAATTACTGGGCCAAACGTAGACTAACCTATAATGTTGACGAATGCACTATTGCTGGACGATAAAGGATATGTACAAATCTGTGATTTCTCTTAGTTGCATGCGAGGGGTACGTTGACGGTTTCAAAGTGCGTAAATGCGACAGCCTGAACCCTGCTATCGAGTATCACGCACGCAGTTACAAAGTAGCGACATGGGTGTATGAATATGTTCCAAAAGAACACCGCTGCGGTAGATTCACAGCACACATCAATTTGAAATGTTCCATTCGAATGGCCTATTCACCCAAATGCGTGCTTTGCTAATTGCGAAAATCAGTGACGTCTTATACATACTGTTCCTAACCAATCGACAAACCAAGATCCCTGAAGAACAAAGAGGCAACGTCTCGAACTCCCCTGACAGCCACAGTTCTGGAGTACCTTGGTTGTCACATGTAATGATCCATTCTGTAATAGAACGTTTCCAGCTTGAGGTAGAACCCAGAGTAACTCAGATGCATTGAAGAGAAGGTCGAGCCTTGTTTTGCACTCATTGATTTACTACTAACAGCTGCCTAACACGAATTACGATTTAGTGTCTTGATAGTACTAGATTCTTCGCTGGGGAAACCAGAATGATTAAGTTTTACTGTTCACAGTTATCCCTCCTGCTAACTTCCTCGAGCGAAAAAAAGCAAGTGAAAAACCGTTAAATATTAGTGTCAGGTGACAAATTGACGTGTCCGATTTTCATGTATTCAAGCATCTATCACATGAAGTAGTTAGACCACAACCATTGAGAGTGATTGCTGTATTGGGAGAGGAGGCAATCGGTAAAGGTTTTTCGCAGTATACATTGTACTATCGTTCGCTTGATTCGACACAAAACAATGGCTGTTTACTGCTATCGTCATGACGGTATCGAAGTCCTGAGAGTCTGGGCCCAGGGAAAACTGCACTCAGATGAAACGCAGTACTATCGCTTCGACTGTACACCTTGAATCCATGTTACTGGCTTGACGGTGTTATGAAAAACTGGCAAATTGTTGAATGCAAAGAAACGTGTTAACTTATTTAACATCCATGGATTTCCCACCTGAGTTCTGTCAATTATATTCTATATACATAGTAATTTCAGCTAGCAAAGCGACGAAAATAAATCGACATCTCACTATATTTGGGTCGAGTGTTTTCAAACAAGACTGTTGAACACTTTACCAAGGAACCAAACGGACCTTGAGGTCTCCTGGAAGTCTTAAAATACTGTGGTTATGACCAGGGCCGCTGCTGAAGTGTGGTGCATTCAAACAACCAAAATTCAGACATCTTAGCAATGATTTCTGGTTTCATTCTAGCCCTTTTCCAGGCCAGATCGGATTTACAGAAGGCTGGCGAACACGATTGGTGTTCAATGTTATCGAGATGGTAAACCGAGGAAAAACAGCTGCGTTTCATTAAATCTGCATTGAATCACAATGTCTTCGTGATAAGGAACCCGTCCACCTTGTGTTAGTCCCTCACTGACTCGCCAAACGGTATCGCACACGAAGCCTACTCTACTCGACCAGAGGTCGTGTGATCAATGTAGTGCTATAACTTTCCCATGTAGGTGAATGGAGTAGCTAGCGCTGTGATAGAGATCACGCACAAGTTGTGTTTAATAAATCAGTCATGAAATAACAGATCCCAAGTGAAGGACCTACGAGTAAAGTTATATTGCTTGTAGATCACGTGATCAGTCGTGCGGTGCTCCGTGAAGTCTTCGGCCAGATGTACCTTGCGAAGGATGAGCACCTGCCGGGAACTTCAGCAAATGACATCTGATCAAACAGGCTGGAAGAACTAAACGACAGCTATCCCATATAAATTACTCGCCAATAAAACGCACATGAACCGCTCACTATTGGAATNCATGAACCGGTCACTATTGGAATGCACAAAGGTAGGTTGCGTATCCATATTCATTCATTTATATTTTAATTACGGACCTCGAAGCCTACCACAGTACATCCACCACAAGCTTCGAGCGTAAATGTTACAAATCAGCTGAATATGACTTTATTCGTTGTGTCGCACCAAACCAACATGGTGCAAGGAAGATGCGGTCACTTGCGTTGTCAAGCGTGAAAGCCGTGTCACTCCATTCCGTGTTCCGAATGCTGATGGGATGAACCGATGAGAATTGCGTGCCCTTGCCGTGTCATAGCTAGCAAGTCGATGGCTGGGCACGCTTCAATGAACAAGTGCTCAGGAGACAACCTGGCAGCATAAGATATCGGATGAGTGAGGCACCCAAGCTCCATCGGCCCGACTCAACAGAGGAGCTGGGTAAAGTATCTAGGTAACTAATCTCAGCCCATATCGTTGATTTGGGGGTCAGTAAATATACTTTCTCACTTGGCAACGCAGATGAATGGATTCCGCTTTATACCGTACCTGTTAGGTATCTTGCTACCACCTCAGTTTACGCAGCCAGGCGGCACGGCGAGAAAGACCAGAGCAACCTGGGTTGGGACGATCGATCGAAGCATACAATTGACATGCTTCGCCTTACTTCAAGCCTCGTAAATTAAAAGTGCAGCGTCTGACGGAAGAAGGCCGTAAAAGGTCTGCCGTGTGGTGGACTTTGTGGTAGTCAGATTGATAGATTTTCGTCCAGCCGCATCAAGGTTGCAGTGAACGTAGCCGTCCGACCTATTTAAATTCAAATTTGGCAGACTCCAATCACTTCATTTCAACGCTACGGACCAATTCAAGAGGGCATCAGCCTGATGCATTTTTGCCGGCTAGACGATAAGAGTGGTGTCTTACTTATAGCTTTACGGTCAAGAGGGAAAAATCCCCTACCTAGTCCCCAAGCTCCAACGACAGAGTGACACGAAGGCTCCAGTCAGGTGGGAAGACGATGATGGGAAGACTGATGAAGTCATCAAACCGCCCTGTTGTTTTGCGACATCCAAGCCCACTGACCAGAATTTTCCGGAAGGGTGTCACTTCTCAGTTTCATGACAAGTCGTTTGAGAGCAAGCAATATTCAGAAATGTCATGGATTACGTCACCATAGGGTCGTTCGACTGATACTACTGCGTGGGTGTCGTTCAGGACATGAATAAGCTGAATCACATGTGTGCTGCGTGCGGCAACGCTCCTGCGTCACTGTGGCAGTCGTTTCAAGTCAATATAATGTATATTTTAGATGAGATACTTCTAATCAAAGTGACAATGGGCGTCGTTCACTTGAACTTATTTCCTTTAGGGCCGAACGATTGGATATATCGTCAAGTCATCGTTCACTTCTACGGTGAAAGGCCAGTGTGCATTTGCGGTGAATAACGTACTTATGCGGGCGGAGATACCAGACATCGTGAGCAGTAATGTGTTTTTTTTTGTTTTTCTCACTTCTAACACTTTCTGACCTAGCTGTTTGACCCGCACACCCACTACTGACTGGCACATGTCGCCAAGACCGGTAATGGTCCTATAGTCCGAAAATTCCGTCTTCTGTTGCTCCCATGGGAGAGGGACGAGGGAAGAGGGGATGAAAAACAGGCACACCGCGTCTCTCACCTCACGTCTACGGCAGGTCGAAGCCTGCGCCAGCCGGAACGGATTGAAGGGATGACTCACCATCGGTCGGGGCCGGAGGCTAGGTGGTTTGCTGATTGGTCCACACAGCCGATTGACCGGAAGAGATATCGATCGATGTTTTGCCTTCAACCTCGTTGGCGGACTCGTCGGGAAAACGTGGGTAAACGACGGATGACGGAAGCTTCGCTAGCACCATGACCATTCTCATCGCGCTACTCGATCAGTTAGGCTGTCAGAGAAATGTCTCAAGCAATGCGGGCCTCTTGTTGCAATCAACAGATGGGAAGGCCCTCAAAATGTTCGTCTATATCGCTACTGCCTATGGCGACTTGGTGTGAATTTGCAAAGCGGCACCAATTACTGGAACATTAACCAATACATTAAACCCCAGCAATGAAAAAACTGTAGCACCTTAAAAAACACCAAACAAGGATGAACGTCAATGATGGAAATCAGGTTTACCGGAACGCTATGGACCGTCCGTAGGTCCATAAAACAAGACATCGGTAAGGATTCAGCAATGCTAAACAGATTATTTGCCTGCAGCGCATCGAAAAGCAGACTTACTGGTTCATTTTTTAGGTTACGCCGTCCAGTAGCCAAAGTTGGTGCTGCTTTGCGTGTCCTGTTTGCCGTTCGAGAACAACTGCTTGTGTTGGTTGGTGTCGGTGACACCTCGCCATCATCAGATGAGGTGGCAAATTTGTTTGTCAGGAAACCAGCAGTCGAGGAGTCCGGCGTCATCATAATTGAATTAGCCACTGAAACATCACCAGCAGAGACAGCCAAAGCCTTCGTAGAGTTGACAGAAGTTGGTGGCGCCACAGAACGAGTGTGGAGAAGAGGAGGATTCGAATTCGGGTCAGAATTAGTCCTCATTAAACCAAAACTACTCCCGTTTAAGTTGGTCGTCAGTGCAGTGGGTGAGACACCATTAAATAGCAGTTTTGATTCGTAGGCTCTCCTGGACACATTGTTATAGCCGTTGACCTCAAAAAGAGGAGGGGGGTGATCACGATGGGAGAGCAAATCAAACTGTCCCACATCCTGGTTGCGTCCGAGTGAACTGAGTTGCCTACCAGTAGCTCCATACAACTGTTCAGATACCGGGTTGGTAAGGCTTCGGCAATCGTTGGTCACACACGGATGCCGAGAACACATATCGGAACCACCCAAAGTTAAGGCCCGAAAGTCTACTCGCGGTTTTAATTCACTGTCCGGGTCCACAGCATCCGGATTCCAACTGCTAAACCCCTCACTTGGTACTGCATCGTACGAAACTGTATTTGAGACGAAATTCAGCGACTCCACAATTGGGTTGTATTCTCCCCGCATGTACTCGGAAATAGACCTGCTTTCAGTTAAATAACCATTTTTCAGATCATTCGGATGCTCCCGTGTTCCATACAATCCACTGGTAAAGGTTGGCGGTGCAGATGAGTAATTCATGGTTGGATGTATAGATGAAGGCAAGAACGATGACTGAGATGGGCCAGATTTCAACCTTGGTGCTTGCTGTTGGGCTGGTACCGTATAGTGGCCTGGATGGGAATCGCGATCACAGGCTGCAAGGAGAGTGTTGACGTTCGAAGAACTCGTGGTAGATGAGGACTCTCGCAGATCAATCAACTGAATACTAGGCAACTGAGAGTTTGGATCGTTCAGCAACGGAAGTAGTGTGAGCACTTCGTTGGGGCAGGCAGCCAGGGACATGTGAAATTTCCCAGTGCTGGGACGTCACAAATGGACCAGCTTGACCGTTCAGAGTCCACTGGAGCGAACCTGCGATCGCAAAATCGAAAAAATTTGAGATGTTGTTGTCGATAACAAGAGAGAGCAGTTTCAGACAATTATTCCAACCAAATGCACCAGGGTCTTTTCGCGACTGAAAATTATGCTGTAAAATAAGCTTTCTCGAAGTATTCAGGTGTGCGAGACATTCTGTTCTTATTTCCTAAGGTTCAACTGATGGTCAGAAGGGTCGGTATCCTTCCACTGTCAGCCATATATTGTCACCTGAGAACACTGAAGTGGTCGACTAAGCTAGTGCAGCTCATGTATTTTACTTGATTGATCGGTTGGTAACTTGGCTTGGAAGTCATTGTGTATCAGTATGGATAGCGGGACGAAGAAATTTAGATCTTAGAAAAATTTATCGAGAGTGTAAAACTTGGAAATAAGCACAATGGAAAGTGTCCTCTGACTACTCGGCAAAAATGCCTTAATAAGGTCCAGTTCCTGATAGATACGGATAAATACCTGGACAAACTAGTTTTTTATATTTGCCTGAGTCCAAACCTGTAGTCATCTTCAGGGGACTTGCTGCAGGAGACAATTGAATTCAGTTTATCCTCTAGTATACAATTTACACTAACAAACTGCACAGTTATTCTTCAAGAGACAAGCCTTAAAGGTACCTGCTTCGGCTCAGTAACGGGGACAGTAGGTTGCTGATCTTCATCAGTTCCGGGGACAGAGTGAAGCCAATACACGAACCTACAGCATTAGAAACTAATTCGCTCTAAAGGTGGTGTTGTTGGCGCACAACATACACGGCGCCCTCAGGACCTTGACCACTGACACCTCTGAGCGAAAGCTGGTGTACACAGTTTTTAGGAAATCTGCAACTAGGTGGCCAGCAAAATCTGTATTCCGTGATTTTATTGGGACCTTAGTTGAAGGTGACATTCATATCCAGAAACCGCATTAGCATAGTCGTATTACTCACGATGAGCCATCACGTACCGGGAAGAACAGCATTCTCGATAACTATTTCATAATCCATGAGTATGAAGGTGACAACAGGCAAATTGGTAGAAAGATCTGACGCGGCCGGAGCAACTGCTTTCTTGGCCGCCTGTATTCATGATGGGGGGTCGTATTGCTTGTTCTTGCCAGGTGCAGCTAACCGAACGCTGACCGGTCCTATCAAAAGAGGGTTTTCTGAGGACATCGGGATTTTCACGAAGAGACAGCTCACAACGTTGCTGAAAGCCCTTCGATAGCCCATGGTCGGTATCACCCTTCTTCGGGCTCACCAGGTAGACTTAGTCCCCGAGTTCCCGTCAAACTTGAATCCGAATTGCACGAAATTTGTCAACTACGTCCATTTGCATGTCCAATTTAATTCGAAGAAGGGCTAAACGGTTCATGTGGATGCATTTTCAGCAACCATATGAGTAGTTTCCTTAACGAAAATATACCGCGATATCTCGAATATTCCAACAACCGAGACATGAATCTATCTTTACGAAGCACATTCTGTCTAAAGATACCATAAACGGGAGATTCAGTTGTGACTTCGGTGAGTGTTCCGTGAAAAGCAAATCAGTGTACACTGGATTTTCGTAAGGAAAGGATGCATTAGTGCAGTTGCTGGCTTCGCAGTCTACGCTGAGGCAGGGAGCTGTCGTAGGTTAAATCATGTTGATCCAAGAACCATCTACGATGATGTGATTTTTGAGCAGGCTGCTTTTGCGTGGATGATCTTTCAGCCTTCTCAGAAATTCGGAGATATGGTTACGATCCAGGTATCCAGACAAGCTTAGATTCTTATAAGGATACTGCCAAAAAATACGAGGAAATCACAACGTGCCAAGGATAGAAGGCATTTCCTTATTAAGGTTTAAGGATAGTGAATTCAGTGCTTCGTGTCCACTCCTCTAACTCTTGAACACAGCTTAGGATACAACGATCAAACAGCTGGTATGAAGAGTTCGAATCTCAAACGAGTGCTCAGAAAGCAGAATTTCAGCGGCTTGATGGAACGTGTGGTAAAACGGAATAGAGTTTAGTGAATATTTTTGTGTACATGTCGACTTAGATGGCTGCTTGTGCTTGTATTTTGTTCTACTGAAAGAGCATGCATTTCCAACTAGTTCAAAAGTGTACGAAACAACACAGCAACTACAACTCAGCTCCGACTTTATGTGCAAAGAATATCTGGAACTTAATTGAGTGGCGGATGTGTTTATGAACGGCGAACACAGGGTGGTCATATCCGGTTTTACTCGATCTAGATAAAAATTTGACCGTTGACATAAATTAGGATTTCGGTAGGTTTGGTGGCAAAGTTTGTCGCCATTCTGCCCTTCTGTGTTCATTATTGATCGGCCCTTGGACTTGACATTTCCGAAAGGAATCTAGTTTTAGTAGTCAAGGATGACATAGGATGTCATCTAGCTTGATACTCCGGTCCTCAGTAAGCCTGTCACAGTTGTCCCTAAAATTTGATTTTTGCTAACGATTTTTGGACGTTGTGCACACACAACTCGCAGTTGTATTGAACTGACAGGATTGAAGAATATCTACCGGTCTGGATGGCAAAGTTAGGAGCTATGTGGGAGTGTAGAAACAGCGTAATCCACAAGACATTCATCACTCACAGGGGTTGCAAACTTTTACCGACAGGGCGCACTACTCATAAGACTCCTGAGAACTTTCAAGCAACCCACGATCAACTTCGTCCTTCTTGTTATTAGACTCTATTCGAAAATCACTTTCTTAAGTTTCTCAAAGTTGTGACTATTGTTCACCAATAAGCGAACGTGAGGATCAACTTTGGCAGTTTCGCTCATGCTGCCGCGTATAGATTGTAAATCCCTTGGTGGACGTCGGTTGACTGGCCTTGTGAGTTCACGTCAAACACATGTCAAAGAATAACGTTGACTGGTGTGCTGACGTTCACCTCATCCCACCGACATGCTCGCTCAAATGGACGTGCGAAGGTTTCCGTTCTGTTCGGCCCCTCTATCGCTTTTTCCCCCCAACCCCTAAGTCATGAAGCATGCAAAAAGAAAATACAGTGTCAACCCGGTAACACATCATTTTGTGGCTCAAGTCTGGGTCTTCGGACATGCAATTCATCGTCGGAACCGAACAAAAGGATGATAGTCCAGGTCAATGGAAAGCTCACTGAAGGTGATGGTAATACAAGCGTTTGACCCTCCATGAGATATACGAATATGTGGCAGGCGGCCGAGCAGGTCAGTCTATTGAGCCACCGGCTCTGGGCAGGGTCACCAAAGAAAACCCCACTCTCCGCTGCTTCACGGGTCGGACTTTCGATTCGGAGACCAAGGGCGTCGTCCCCGAACAAAACCCTACATCCTCTCAGTCTTGTGGGGCAGACTTTTGAATCAAAGGTTCAGGATGGGTACCTCAACCAAGCCGAGAAGTATCATTTGCCCGCACAGTTCTAAGTCCACGGACACCTTCCCCAACCACTTTTCATCACACAACCAAACGTTGCTGAATCATTTGATTGGCAGTTATCTGACCGGTACGTCTCATGCACCCCGCTGCTTATTAATAACAAATTGCTAAAACCAGGAGATCTTTTCTACTTAAAATCCTTCAAAGTCCGTACTCTATGTCAAATTGACAAACAGACAATGCTCGCTGAAACCTTTTACTCCCTGGAGTTGCACTCAGTTGCAGGGCTGAACGCGCTTTCCTCGACTGGATTCCAGGAACAGTCGTCTTTGCGCCGTCCGGTTATCCAGTTTAGTCGAACTCCCTGCCTCCGTGGCCCTATACCTCAACGGAGTGCAGTTCTGGCGCGGAGAAGGGTATTTTCTATCGAGTTGTCCGGGCTCACTCGTCAAGCAACAAACAATGACAATGCGATCCTTGCGGGCGATATGAATGCCCAAGTCGTTTGTGTGAACTCCTTGGAATCACATCTGGGCGTTCGATTCGGAGTCGATGTTCGTCTTACGGAGACTGACTCCTCCAGAAGTGTGCTGATCAACTGTTTGTGGACAGACCTAACTTTTTTCATAAACGTTTGCATTACGTGGCCTGGCGACCACCAAGTGCAAATCAACCGTAGGCCCAGTTGCATCATGTGGCCATTGGCCGCCGGTGGAGAGCAAAACTTTAAGACTGCTGTTCCTTCTGGGGCATACGACTTGATTCCGATCACGCCATGTTGTGAGTACGCCTGATGATTCGCTTCCCTTCAGGCAAGTCATCAAAAAGCACGTTAATCTGCCATCTTAGAATTACCACAGTTCAGCATAGCTCTCTACAGTAAGCCAACACTACTGGTAGCGAGCACGTTGATAGAGCATCTGAAAATCTGAAAGAAGCTGTGCTAGTGGCGTTCAGTGCTGTCTGTCCGACGTCTCCAATACGATAAAAATAGCCACCGGATATCATTGAGATCGCTAGCATTGGTTGATGCCAGGAAATCAGCAGATAACGAGCATGATGGTGAACGCGAATTCCTCAACGCCAAATAGTGAAGAGCCTAAGCTTCGGTGAAAATCGAAAGCCCAGGAACCGGAGAGGCCTTTTACTACCGAAAACAGCCATGCCCAATAGCAATTGATACAATCAACTGACTGTGGGGAAGCAACGGTCGATGAGACGATAAGGGAGAAGGGCGGTTCATCAGTTCACTCGCAAAAAGGCCGACTGGAAATATGGGCCGAACACTTCGAAGAACAGCTTAGCTGGTCTCCTGCAACACATCCTCCAAAGAAACTGCATACCAGCGAATGGAATGTGAACCTTAGTCACCCATCAGAAGAGAAAATAAAATACGAAATATCCCTACTGAAATATGAGAAGGCATCAGACCGGGACGGTCTCTATCTAGTCCTTTCCAAAGAGGGCGGAGAACCCCCAGTGAGCTATCTGACAAAACTCATTAAAGCGATATGAAGTGAACAGAAAGTGCCTGCAGAATGGGACTCGTTGGCAGATATTCCTGTCTTCAAAAATGGTACGTGGACGCTGTGTGAAAACGACCGTGACATCGAAGATTTAGTCTGGTC